CCTACCCGTGTGTGTTCTTCAAGCACTTTTAGAGTAGGAGTCTCTAAAACACTGAGACTGCAAAAAACATTTTACAGTTTGTAGGTTGAGCATTGACTTGACTCACATATATCATTCCCTATCAGACTTTCCTTCCGTCCCTCTCTAACTTTAATAAATTAAGCAAATACAGATAGTTCCACTATAACAAATGATTATTTTCTTCCTTAAATAGATTTCTATGAAGAAAAACAAGACTCCAAATAACATTATCTCCATTTACATGTGTGTTCCACTATATATACAGTGTGCACGTATTTTTTCTACCTGTGAATAATATTCATATCCTTCTGTACATCACACTTGTTGCCTTGCACAGAAATTATTATTTAGTTACCAGATAACTTAAATTATTACTGACCTCAATACATCTATTGGGCAAATAAATGATACAGATTATCCATATTATTATTTCTGATCATTAATATAAAATATAAAGTTATAGAAAAATTAACCAATAAGTGGCTTCAGGCCTTTCACTCAATTTTCTTTTAATTTGCCTTTCTTTGGTACTCAATTTTATGTATATGAGAGTTTATTCTTAAGGGATTTTTGAAATGTTCAAATAGATGTTGACTTACAGTAGTAGACTATTATATTGCCAGTGTCCATGACTTATGACATAATTCCTACAAGTTTAATTTAAAATATATTTAGCAGGGCCGGGGATTTAGCTCAGTGGTTTCACTGCCTGCTGAGCAAGCGCAAGGACCCAAGTTTGATCCCTGGTACCAAAAAAATAATAAATAAAATAAAATGTATTTAACAATATAATGGCATATATTAAACTATAGTTTTGTGTATAGTCAGAATGTATGACTTACTATTTTGGGCTCAAATTTTGATTAGGCCAATGTTCTAAAAATTGTATTTTAAGAACTAGTAATAGGTTCTAATTGGATTGGTATCTCTGGTAGGTAAGATTTAAATCTTACAGTATGGTTTTGGGGTTTTTTTCATTTTTTTTATTTTATGAAAAAATAAAGTTTCATAATAAAATAATAAGAGAATAATAGTTAATACATTCTGTTTCATTATTTTCAAAGTAGTTACTCAGAGTATAAGACATAGACAAAAATGATTCTTTTTTTTTTTTTTTTTTGGTACTGGGGATCAAACTCAGGTCCTTGCACTTGCTCAGCAGGCAGTGAAACCACTGAGCTAAATCCCCGGCCCCAATATTCTTGCTTACAAAGAAGAAACAGATAATATCACAAAATGAGGCAAGAATTCTAAAATAAGACTTAGTGTGTGGCCTTTAAAGACAGAGCTCTTGTTGATGGATAGTTTACTGTGTGACAAGCAGATGTTTGTCCCACAGAGCTGCCATTCTCCTGGAAATCAAGCACTGTATCCTGTGGAAGCCAAAACCACTCTGTGCCATACCAAGAGCACCTGAACTAGTTTCCTTCCAGATGGTGGGTTTGCCATCATCTCAAGCATGAGAGGAAATAGTGTAAGGTACTCGTCTTAATATCTTATGAAGGAAATAATTAATTTGGGGTTGGAATTTGTATTATTGCTTCAAAGCATCATTTTCTAAATTCTGTTTTTGTATTCATTGACATTTACATAAAATTTATATTCTCAAGGATTGTTGGCTAACGGTGACAAATTAAAGAGTAGAAAGGTTCAAAAGCACTTTGGATTTGGAAGTGAGCTGTTCTGAAATGACCTCTCATGATCACGCAGAAAGCTCCTTTGGTGTTGATGTTCTAGGGGCTGCTTTCAGAGTGTATCCCTTAGTGAGCAGCGGTCCTGGAGATTATTGTAGCTGTCTCATTCAGTACTTGATAAATTCCATGTTCTTTTGCTTTGGGTATTTTGTTGTTTGTAAAATTACTATATATAATTTTTAATTTAAAATATTAACAAGTTTCCTATGATGAAAAATGAAGATCAGAAATATGCCTTAAGCCATCAATTTAAAAAGCAAGCCTACCTATTGAGGAGAGAAAAATAATTTGGAAAACAAACATTTCTCATTGCTCATTAAATTCCTATGTTCCTACTCTCTCTATAACTAAAGAAATAAGATTTAAATAAAATCAAGTAAAATTTTTAGCAAGATGATTAAGTGTAGTATAGTTTACATGTTTTATCTCAGAAAATAAGGCTGTTCTTTGAGAGGTTTTCTAATAAAGTAAGAAGTCAAATTTTTCTTTCTGTACTTTAGCAGAGATAAGATTATTTAAGGAACAGAATTAAGCCAGGCTACCAGTCTTAAATCTCATATCCATATGCCCAGTTTCCTCTGCTGTAAAGTGAAGGTAATAATAATTCCATCTTCTTAGGGTACTCAGGAGGATTAAGTAAGTTAAGACATATGTAATATGATTTAGCATGTAGTCAGTGCTATATAAATACTGCGTATCATTCTATTACATATTAAGTAGCTTATAAAGTGCTATCTGCTATATCATAGGTTTCCTGTAAGAGAATTTTCTGCTACTGAAAAGATATAACTAAGGCCTTTGATACTCCCAACATTTGAAAAGTCATCATTTTATAAATTGAGAACACTGTATTGTAAGCTAGTAAAATTACCTCATTTTATCACCTTATGCTTCACTTCTCAAAAGAAAAAAACAGATACTTGCATTATATGTCTCCTCTGAAATTCTATAAAATTTTACAATAATAAAATTGGTTGCTAGTAAGCACAAAAGCAGTTTATACTAACTACTATTTTGGTAAACTTGTTGAGATCTTCCTTTTCAAATTGAGCAATCTAGTTTTAGTAAATTAATATTTTTCTATTTTTTGCCTCATTTTTTGATGAGTCCTTATAAAAATAGCATCTAAGAATAAATATTCATGCCATATTTAATATATAAACCTTTGATAAATCTGTAACTAAGGCCAGAATGCCAGTTTTCAATCTAGTGTCTGTAATGCCCCATTTCTTCTGCTGTAAAGTGAAGGTAGTAATAATTTCATCTTCTTTGGGTACTTAAGAGGTTTGAATAAGTTAAAATTTATGTGATATGTAAAATAATGCCTAGCATGTAGCAAGTGCTATGTAAATAATGGATAAGTCTATTTTTGTGTGTATGACTAGAGATAATTGTGAAGTAGATCATTTTATTATATATGCTTTCATATAATATATAAAGAATTTAAAAATTAGGCCCCCGTAATAAAAGACCAAATCAAAAGTGGGCAAGTGAATTGAATAGATGCTTTGCAAATAGCCAATAAATACATGAAGAAATGCTCAATATCACTAGCCATTAGAGAAATGTAAATTAAAACAACTTCCATCTTACCCCAGAAAGAATGGTCATCAAGAAATCAAATAATAATAAATGCTAGGAAGACTGTGGGGCAAACAAAAACTTTCATGTTGTTGGTGGGAACAGAAAGTAGTGCAACCACTATGGAGAGCAGTATGGAGAGCCCTTAAAAAACTAAAACTAGAAATTTCATATACCTCCCCAGCTGAGTTAAAGACATCATATTACAGTGACACATGTGTACCCATATTTACAGCAGCATAATTTATAATAGCTAAATCTTGGAAGCAACCTATATGTCCATCAAGAAATGAATGGGTAAAATGTGGTGTTTACACACAATGGAGTACTACTGTGCCCTAAAGATAAACTTGAGTCATTTGTAGGAAAATGGATGCACTTTGAGACCATAATGTTAAGTGAAATAAATCAGGCACACAAGCTTAAATATCACATGGTTTCTCTTATATAAGAAGCTCAAAATATGAATGAAGAGCAAAGTAAAAGATAAGATGAAGTAGGGAGATAGATCTTTCTCAAATGGGAAGAGGATCAATAAATAGAGGGAAGAGGGATGAAGGACAGGGAAAGGGAATGACAAGACTAATTAAGATGTGTTATGTACACGGACCAACTCCCCAAAAGGAGTGTAATAAAACATGAAATAAAAATAAACAGGTAAATAAATAAATCTAGGGAATCAGGTAAGTTTTGACTACCTTGTGAAATAGATATTCAGCTTGAAAAACATTCCTTTTCCTAGGCCACTTATATTTAGAAATTATAATGAAGACTGCTCTTTTATTTGAAAGGTGAATAACCCCAAACCTGAGTGTATCTTTTGAAGAACCAAATGTGAGAAAAAGTTAAGAATAAGCTTTCATTAAGTTTCCATTTATAACTCTATTTAACTTCTAATGTAATTCATTTCTAATTAGTTAGCTTAATATAAAATGGGCCTCAGAATAGCAAATAGATGAGGGAGTTTAATTTTCATATATCCAACATTTTTTAACTTCTAAATTACAGTATAGGAGTTTGTAATAATTTGGTTTTCTTGTTATATAATTACTGTCTGATAGTATCAAGGCATTGAAAAACTCTGAATTGCTTGAGACACTGGTCATTATTAAGTTACACCACTTTTGTTTCTTCATTAATAGTAATCTCAAGGGCCAGGAATTTAGCTCAGTGGTTCCTGCACCTGCCTCACAAGCTCAAGGTCCCGAGTTCGATCCCTGATGCCAAAAAACAAAACAAAACAACAAAAAAGGGGAAATTAGTAAATTTGCAGTAGAGCAATCTGGCACCCCTCCCCCCTGACCAAATGTGATCAAAATTAGCCTTATCAGTATTGGTGCAGCTGGCCAGGGATTTACCCAGTGGCACTGTGCCTGCCTCAAAAGTACAAGGTCCTGAGTTTGATCCCTAGTACCCCCCAAAAAATAGTAATCTGTAAAATTTATTTTAAAAATTATAAATAAATCAATTAGAAGTTTGCATTTTTAATCATCTGAGTTATCAAAAATTGGTGTAAAAAAAGAGGATATGGAGAACAGTACAATGGAGAGCAAATTGAGGCCATTAATAAAGGCGAAATTTAGAGGCAATGTCAGAAGAAAATTAACCAGAAATTTCATAAACTGAAAACCACTAGAGAATATCTCTAGAAGTCTGTTTTTGTGAGAAGAAATTCAAGGATCATTTTTTTCCCTTGTTTTACAGGAAAAGTTACCAAAGTCTTGACCAGTTATCAGCAGAAGTTAGCCTTTCTCAGACTTCACTGGATCCAGGGCAGTCCCAAGATGGAGATGGAAAACAAGACACGTTAAATTCAATCAGTGAAGGCAAGAAAAACCATCTTTTTGAAAGTTACCGTTTGCTGTACTATATATATTTTGGTTTTACATCTTGCTGAAGAGTAGTAATGATCTTTCTGTGAAGCATGCTAGAAAGTAAGCTGCTGTTATATGATTAAAAATAATTAGTCTTTGTTTCTTGGTGTTTATGTTTAACCTTCTCAAAAGGCTTACTTATAATTACTGCCTTCATTTCCTCACTTCCCTACTCAAGAGACTGTTATCAGGATGATTAACCAGGAGCATACTGCTGAAGTCAGTCTTTTGTGTTTATCCTACTAAACTTTCAGCAGCTTTTGACCCAGCTGACCACTTCTTCATTCTTTTTTTTTCCACTTCCCCATTCTTGCATCTCATTTGGTCCCTAATTTGTTGCGTCCTCAGGAACGAACATGACAGTGTCTGCTCTCTTGTGTGTCTTCATCACTCTCTCTTCCCATCAGGGTGCAGCTTTACAGCCTTTTTGTCCGATGCCACAATGTTCCAGGCTGCCTGCAATGACAGGGCCCCATTACGGTCTCCGCACCTCAAACTTCATCCTAGAACAGCAGTAAATGTACCCCTCTGATTTCCATTGCTGTGACAGAATCCGTGAGATAATGAACATGTGAAGAGTAAAGGTTGGTTTGAGCTCATGATTTCAAAGGTTTCAGTCCATGGTCACCTGGCCACATTGCTCTGGGCCTATGGCAAGACAGCGTCACACAAGGAGAAGGTGCTAGAGCAAAGCTGCTCCCCTCATGGCAGCTGGGAAGCAAAAGGAGAAAGGGGAGGGGCAGGAACACTGCCCAAAGTGCCCCACTTCCTAAATGTACTACCTCTTCCTCCCAGGAGCTCCACCAGCTGGGGACCAAATCTTCAAGACATGAGCCTTTTGGGGGCATTTAACTATTTAACTACACAGCAGTCTAGTTGTTGAAAGCTTGTTACTTTCACTCCCCTGGCTCAGGCTAGAGCTGCCTCTAGCACTTGGGATTTGACGAGTGGTGCTGGTGTGATCTGAGGCTCACATCTTTTATCTCGTCTTCCCACTTCTCCCTCCTCTGGTGTGTGTGAGTGAGAGCAAAGACAGATCAGCCTTTACCCAGCAGAACCTGCACCCATGCCTCAGTCTCCCCGTCTCCTCCATTGCAGCGAATGGTGCCACCATAGACGTCGTCCTAGGTTCTCCTTTCTCCTTACAGCCTCAGTATGTGAATAAGCACTGTCACTTCCCCACACTACACATCTGCACACAGCACCTCATCACGCTTTCCATTGCCCTGCAGCAAGCCTCTAAGCAGAACTAGAGCCACAGCTTTTTCACTGGTGTTTTGTCTCCCTTTTCGCCCCTTTATAGTCCATTGCCTACACAGTAGTGAGTAATACTGTAAAACATAAATAAGAAAGCATCATAACCCCACTTACAACTCTCTAATGGCTTTCAGTGGCAATTAGAACACAGTCTAAGCTGCTTATCATGTGCTCCTGCATGATCATGTCCTTGCCAGCTTCTGCCTTATTTCATATTGCTTCTCTCTCATTCTAAGGACCCAGCACACTAACCTCCTAGTTGTTCCTACTGCAGCCATCTTTGCATTTGCTTTTCCAGCTTCCTTGAATCTTCTCTCCTCAGGTCTTTGCATATAAGCTGTTTATCAGATCTCTGTCCAAATACCATCTACAGATGTTTTTGCTGACTCCTGAACTTCTAATAGCCACCATCCGCATCTCACCCTGCTCCAGGCACTCTTTATCATGTTGGTGTGCATTATGCTGTGGTTCTTATCTGTTGACCCCCTCTGAAATGCTAGCTTCCTGGAGGTAGAGATGGTATCCACGTTTTTCACCTGTGTGTTACTAGAGTCTGACACAGAGTAAGCAACTACTAAGTATTTGTTGATAAAATAAGTATATAATGAATGAGTATTACAGATGTAAGGAAGAAAGGAAAATTCAGTTAACTAGGGTGTTCAGGCGATGTAATTATTTGTATTTAACTGAATTTTCTGCTTCCTTTAAATTGGTTGTTAGACTGTTTTCGAAGGATCTTAGTCTATTTAGTAATTTAGTAAATAGCTTTTTTGATAAATGTATATGTACATTTAAAAAACTATTCCATATTATGAGTGGATTTATTTGTGATAACTCTTCATCTAAAAGACATTTACTTAAAATTTGAGCCTAATTTCCTACAAGTATTATAATGTAAGTAGGATAGAGTAATAGTGACTGTTTGATACTATAAAATGTAATAGCTTTAAAAATTCAAGTTTTAATAACAGATTTAAAGTTACTTACAGAATTTCCATATCCAAATACAAAATAAAATGAATAAAATAAAACTAAAAATTAGCCAAAAATCCACCAACTTCGACCTAACAGGAAAAAGTGCTACATAGTAAATCTAATAGATTAAAAACTGGTCATCAGGAAAGAAATAGATATTCTCATGATGAGTTGGTAGGATTCCCACTATTCTCAGCATCCTCTAAATCTGGTTAAAATAACAAATAGAGGAATTTTGTACAGGTGAGATAATGGCATTGAGGCTATGATAGTAGAATTAAAAGCCAGCTGTGGTGGTTCGTGCCTGTAGGCCCAACCATTTGAGAGGCCGAAGCAAGAGGATCTGTTGAGCCCAGGAGTTCAAGGCCAGTTGGGTAGCCTAGCAATACACAATATTTGTACATATGCATATACATAATATGCACATATATACATAAAGCAAGAAGAGCAAATATAACCACTCACAACCCAAGATCTCAGTATCACTAAAACATACTGAATAAATAGACTTCAAATGGCATGTGAGTAGAAGAATAAATATCAGGGCCGGGGATTTAGCTCAGTGGTTGCGCCGCCTGCCTCGCAAGTGCAAGGTCCCAAGTTCAATCCCCGGTACCAAAAAATAAAAATAAATATCAGACTCCAGCAACCTGCTATAACAAGAGGTCATGAGCAAAGGAGTCCAGGAAAAACTAGACTGTGCAAAAGAAGGGATTGGGATGTTAGTGGCAGGCCTCAGATTGATCAGAAACCATGGCCAGAAAGAGAAAGTCAACTCCAAGTATGAAAATGTTTTTTAAAACTCTTGGTAGAATGGATTTCCAGTGTATGTGGAATGCAAAGAAATAGTATTAAAAAGATATTGTAAGGCCAGAAGAAAGTTTAAAAAGAGAGAAATTTTGAAAACCTTGTAGTTGGAAGGGAAAAATTACAGGAGAAAGTTTAGGATTGCATAAAACAAACAAACAAACAAATGCCAAGAATGGTGTACCTACATGTCTGTAATCCCAGCACTTGGGAGGCTGAGGCAGGAGGATCGCCATGCGTTCAAGGCTAGCCTGGGCTGCATAGTTAGGGTCTTGCTGTGTAGTTCTGATCTTGAACTTATCTCAAAAATAAATAAATAAATGACTAGCAAGCCCCAGATGTTTAAACTGAGTAACATGCATCCTTTCCTCCCGCAGAACCATTCTCCATCAAAACAGTGACACGGTAAGATCACACCTGGCACAGAAAAATTCTCTTGGAACAAAAAGTCCTAAACTATCCAAGTCAGCTAGCCTTGCCTGTCCACAAGAATCTTGAGGAGAAGAGAGAAACGGGAGTTGCTGAGGGGGGAACCACCTCCTTGTAGGGTACAGAGGCAGGGGCCTGACTCTGGGGAACAGAGCCCCTCCCGATGGGAAGTTAGTCCCATCTTCCTCACAGTTCCATCACCCTCCAAAGCCTCCACACCTCTGAATGCATGAGGCATGGAGGGCCATCGAGATACAGACCATAATGCTACAGTTGTCTAGCTCCAGGGCAGGAACATCATGGCAGAAGGGCATGATGTAGCAAAGCTGCCTGCCTCAAGGCAGTTCCCACCACGAGGAGGGACCAAACAGAAAGCCAGGAAGTTAAAAAGTCTATTGAAAATATGGGCAGCAGAAGTGAGGAATGTTGAGGACAGAGTGTCAGAACTAGAATACAGGGCTGACGTTGGTGACAATTTATAGTTACCTTGAAAACAATAGGAGAACATGAAAAATAGATTTAACTGCTCCTAGATGACTAAAGAAGACTAATCTAAGATTAATTGGCATTAGCGAAAAGATCCCAAGAAGGCACAAATGGCCTCAAAAAGCTATTTATAGAAATAACACCACATTTCCAATATGGGAAGAGAATTGAGCATACAGATGCGTGAGGCCTTGTCTCAGAAAACATGAATTCACATAATATAAAATGCACCATTCTAAAGTGTACAAGTCAGTGTGGATTAGAGCACGCGTCATTTTTTCAGCAATCGCCACTGTCTTAACTTCCCAACATTGTCATCACCAAAAAGCCTTATACCTGTTTGTACTCAGGCCCCGTTTCTCCTCACCCTGCACCTGGGCTTCTCTGTCTCTGGGTTTGCTTCTTCTTGGCTTTTCATATCATGGAATCACACCATAGGTGGTTTTTAAAAAGTGTGTGTCGTCTTTGACTTAGCATGTTTTCAAAGTTGATCTACTTTTACCCTATATTAATTTTTCATTTTTTTTTATGGCCAAAAACCATTAGATTACTGTTTGTCTTTTTAATTATAGCCATCCAAAGGAGTGTGAGTAGTAGTATCTCACTGTAGTTTTAATTTGCATTTCCCTAATTAAAGATTTTCTTAGCATCTTTTCATGCGCTTATTGGCCATTTGCATGTCATCTTTGGAGAAACATTTGTTCAAAACTTTGACTGTTTTTATTTATTTATTTATTTATTTATTTATTTATTTATTTGATACCAGGGATCGAACTCTGGTTCTTGTGCTTGCGCAGCAGGTGGCGAAACCACTGAGCTAAATTCCCGGCCCCAACTTTGACCATTTTTTAATTGCACTGCTTTGTCTTTTTTATTGATGAGTTATTTATTTATTTTTTGATGAGTTATTTATTGATTGATCGATTGCTTGATTGGTGGGTACAGGGGATTAACTCAGGGATGCTGTACATCCCCAGCTCTTTTTACTTTTTAAAATTTGAGACAAAGTTTCACCAAATTGCTCAGGTGGGTTTTAAACTTATGATCCTCTTGCTTCAGCCTTCCTCAGTGCTTGGATTAGATTTTAATTTTGATGAAGGTCTCCTTATCTAGTTTTTCTTGTGGTTGCTTAGGTTTTTGATGTCACGTCTAAGAAGTGGATGTCTAATCCAAGAGTTATGCAGATCTATACCTTTTTTTCCTTCTAAGAGTTTTATGGTTCTGGCTTTCTCACTTTGGTTTTTGATCCAGTATATGGTATATGGTATGGGCAAACGGTTCAACTTCATTCTTTTGCATGTGGCTCTCCAGTTGTCCCTACATCATTTGTTGAAAAAAAACCCCAAAAAGCTATTCTTTTCCCGTTAATGGTCTTGTAGCCCTTGTTGAAATCCGTTGACCATTCACATGTAGACCCATCTCTGGGCTCTCAGTTCTGTCTCCCTGGTCTGTCTGTGCCAGCCCCCACTGTCTTATATGCTAATATCACACTGTCTTCTTTACCCTAGTGCTGTAATAAGTTTGGAAATCAGGATGTTTGAGTCCTGAAATTTTGTTTCTTTACAAGATTGTTTTGACTACTTGGGGTCCTTTGCACTTCCATATGAATTAGAATGAGCTTGTTTCTGGGGGAAAAGGGCAGAAAATTTCGGTAGAAATTGCATTGACTCTGTCTCTGGGGTAAGTGTGCCATCTTAGCAATATTATCTTCCAAACCATAGAAAGATGAAATTTTTTTCATTTATTTCTATCTTCTTTAGTTACTTTCAACAATATTTTATAATTTTCAAAAAGTATACAAGTCTTGCATTTCTTTGGTTAAACTTATTCCTAGCTATATTAATCTTTGAGATGCTATTATAAATGAAATTGTTTGCTTAATTTCATTTTCAGATCGTTCATAGGTTTTTGTTTGGTTTGATTGATTCTTTGTTTGTTTGTTTGAGACAAGGTTTTGCTGTGTTGTTCAGTCTGGCCTTGAAATCACTGCGTAGCCCAGGCTGGCCTAGAACTCACAGTGATGCTCCCGCCTCCGCCACCAAGAGTGCTGGGATTATAGGGCTGTGCCACCACACTCAGGCTCCATTCACAGCTTCACCCCTTTTCTAAAATTTTTTATTTTGAGTCAGGGTCTCACTGAGTCACTCAGTTGTCCACACTGGGCTCAAACTTTTGATCCTCTTGGCTCAGCCTCCCTCAGTGCTGGGATTACAGGAGCGCACCACCATGCCCAGCTTAGAGTGGATACTTACCAAATGAAAATGAGTTTGGAAGGTTAAGATACCATGAGTTTTAGCCTCTTTGTTTTCTAGACTAAATAATAATAAGAAATATTAGCTGGGTGTGGTAGCACATGCCCATAAGGGAGGATGACATAAGAGGATCTCCAGTTCCAGGCCAGTTTGTCCTATATAGTGAGACTCTATCTCAAAAAAAAAAAAAAAGAAAGAAAGAAAAGAAAAGAAAAAAGACATTAATTATTATTCTAGTTTTGCCACTCTACTTAAGAAATTAAAAAAAAAAAAAAAAAAAAGGTAGTGGGCCAGGGATTTAGCTCAGTGGTGCCACCACCTGCCTCCCAAGTGCAAGGTCCTTAGTTTGATCCCCATTACTGGAAGAAAAAAAAAAGACATTTCTTTTTTATTTGCAAATGTTCCAGAAAATTTGGGCTTCTTTACTTCCTTGGAGCGACAAATCCAGAAGGCTTTGTCCATAACTGGGCATCTGTTTCAAAGAGAAAAGGCATTTGCCCCTTTGCCATATCCCTTTAGGCAGGAATTCAAAACACTGAATTTGTCAAAAATTATTTTTTAAGGCAAATTTAATGGGCAGGTTCCACTGTGTTAATTAATAGGAACATTAAACTGAAAAATGACTCATTTGGGAAGATTTCATCATCTGTCCTGTGTGTTCTTCTGTGTCATATGCTAGGGCAGACAGGCTGGGTTGGTTTGCATTGGGCATAAATTGCTATCTGTGAAAGGGGAAAACAGATTGTAAATTGTAAATCATCTCTTCTGTTTCTCAAGAGTCACAGACACAGTGTCATTAATTGTACAACAGTGTCAGAAAGCTTTAAACCTACAGTAGACATGAAGGCTCTCCAGGAATAAAACAATATTTTGATGAAAAAATTTTAAGGTGATGAAATATTTCACACATGGTTATGGATGCGCAATAATATGAATGTGATTAATGGCACTAAATTGTACACATTAAATGGTTAAAATACTAAGTTATATGATATATATATATATATATATGTATGTGTCACAATAAAGAAAACAGTTCTGTATGTATGTATATTTAACTACCCATAAGTCTCCTATAAAGGCTCAGTACTGAAGTACAGATTCAGAGACACTATCCAAATTGATTGATTCCTGGTGTGTTTAGCAACAGAGCTAATTTGGGCCTGAAATAAGTCTCTAGGCTTAAACATGAAAGTGGCATTTAGAATATTATGCCTTTTGGGCCGGGGATTTAGCTCAGTGGTTCTGCCACCTGTCTCCCAAGCGCAAGGTCTTGAGTTTGATCCCCAGTACTAAAAAAAAAAAAAAGAATATTATACCTTTTGTTCTAATTGTGTACATAATAAACATTTAAAATATGAGTGTAATAACTACTCATCCATGTCTTTTTCTAACACTGTATTTCCTGTATTTTGCTTACCAGCAAAGCTCTGTAATTAGCATAGCCAATCATCTTTTTGGGAGTGTTGCCATTTTACAAAAGAAAGCTCAGAGGTGATGCCTTGACTGAGGTCACACAGCTGCAAAGGACAGAGGTGCTAGACTGAGTCCTAATATAATTCCAGTGAATCATCTTTCATTAGTTATGTAGTTATTTAATAAGCATCTACTGTTTTCTAGGTACTGGGAATGTAATAATAAACATACAAAGTCTATGTCCTTTCTAATCCCTGCTCTTTCCATATCATGTGACAGGTTATGGGGTAAATACAACAGACTATGAGAACACTTCTGAGGGACTATTTGAAGTAACACATAATATTCTAAAACATCTAATGTCTAATTTGATAATTGCATATTTATAGCTAGTTACATGTATGGCGTGGGTTGAAATTTAGCTCTGGAAAGAACTTGTTTTACCTCAACCATATAAACAGCCCTTCTACCATTCCTTCTTCACGATTCTACTGAAGTCCAGCACTTAAAGTTCCTGATGCATAACAGATACTAAATAAAGTCAATTTATGAATAAAGGCTCTTAAAATCAGGCCTTCCTATTAAGTTAGGAAGTTCAGTTTGACCACATCCATCTGCTCCTAAGTATGGATTTCCTGGTGTTTCTTTGCCCTGATTGCTGTTACTGTTACTTAGCTTGGATCTGTGTTACCCTTTACTAACCAACTGAACATGAACATGTTCTCCAAAAAAAGGTAAACTTAATTTGGATCTACAGCATTTTATCTTTAAACTTTGACATGTAGAAGTCTCATGAAAGCAAAAGTGATCTTGTGTGATATTTTTAAGGGTGATATTGAGCCCACTGAAAAGATCAAACGTGTTTAGACATTGACTTTCTATAGTTAAGATATATTTTCAGTATCTTGTAAATTATGGAAATTTCTAATGGTTTTATGATCTTATTGGTATGATTCTTAAAGGCCATTAATTTGTTATTTTATCCTTCTCTTCAGGTAAAGAAGATACCCCTTCATTACTTGGTCTCTGTGGGTCTCTAACATCAGTAGCAAGTTACAAATCTCTAACGAGCCTAAAATCAAATGACTACCTTCCAAGCCCTACAACGGAGATGACAAGTCCAGGCCTAACCCCATCCTGAAAAACCTTATGGAAATCCAAGAGACATATTAGATTTATTTGATTTAAATTATACTCACACCCCTGTCAAATAAGAAATGATGCTTGACCTTGAGTTATATTTGTATGTATTAATACACAGTGTGTTCCAAAATCGTAGGGGACTCCTAGAAATCTGGCATGCTTTGGTGTAAATTATCAGTCATAATTCTGGTGTTAAATTATTGTATGCCATAGAAATAACCTAATTTCTTTGTCAACTGTGAATCTGCATCAGATCTTTAACTGTGGCTATTTTAATTCTTTCCACAATTAACTGCTTTATTCTGAACTGAGGGTAGAGAGCTCAAAGATAAAGAGTGCTTGCCTAGCATGTAGGAGGCCTTTGCACCCATAGCATCTCTCTCTCTCTCTCTCTCACACACACACACACACACACACACACACACACACACACACACAAATGCTTTATTCTGTTGCCCTATGGAAGCAGTGTTAAGTTCAAGGAAAAGAAAAGGACATCTGACAAATACAGGTTTCCGAATAAATCTGGACTGGGCAAAAATTTTCCAAACTTTAATGAAAAAACAGGTAAATTCATGAACCCACTAACCCAAACCAGGCAAAGCAAGAATCAATTACATGAGAGTAAATGAGCTGATGAAAAAGTTGTTTTGTTACAATCCAAACCTACTGACTGATGAAATTACCAAATTAAAAGCTAGCAGAACTCAGGAAATAAAGAAGTAGCTTCCCCTTCTTTAAGTTCCTCAACAGAAACATTTATTCACATTTCACTATGTAAATCCATCAGCCCCTCGCTCATAGTAGTAAAAACTGAAGTCACAGGAACTAAAAATACCTCTCAGATACTATTTCTATACAAAACTATACCACCTTCTTTGGGATCACTGACTGCTTGCTTCCTGATCAGTCCTTTTACCCTTGTAATTACATGTACAGTATTAGGCTGAGATTTTCAACAAAAATAAGACCACAGAAAATTCTCCTCCTAAGGAAAAAATACTCAGCATTGGCTTAGATCTCTTCACCCCCCAAAAATGGTAACGTGGGAGGGGGGGGACAGTACCTTTATTCTTCCTCTTTTAGCTAACTGAAAATATCTGATAACTCCCTTTCCCTAAACTCAAAAACCTTCCCAAAGTGTATGGGATTCTTCTAGCTCTGATATCCAAATGCACATTCCTTTGAAGTTGTAACAAAAGACCTATACATCTTTCCATTATAGTCCTAGAGCATGGCTTGCCTTTTGGCTTGGCTGAGGAATTGCTGGGCCACATATAACATACATGATACAGTTTAGTTAATGTTTATATGTAACAAAACTATAAATGTTTTTATTATAACATTAAAAAAACACAAGCCTGTTTAAATAAATAAGAAAACTTACATATCTGCCTAGTAACAATAAGCAACTGTCTTTACAGGAACACACGTAGGTAGATGAAATACTATTATTGGTAATTATCGTATCTTACTTGCCAGCTACTTCACACAATCCCATGTATTGTCTGATACACACGGGTTTCATCTGACTGACTCTGAGGCAGGGACAGGAGGAAGACAGCACTGCACTTTGCCTTCCCCTGTACAGCTGTTCTGTTGCCACCTAGGCAGTTTGAACTGGAGCATCACACACCAGTCATGAAATATATCTATAAGATCATATAATCTGGAGTAGATGGATTTTCCCAGCTGGCTTAAAGTGCCTTGCTCGATAACTTCTACCAGCTATTTTCTGCATAGGAAGGACCCTGAGAGAACCTCAAGCCAATCAATGAAACAGAAATGGGAGAATAAGAAAGTGGCAGAGTGGTGATCTGAAGCAAAATTTAGCCTCTCCAAGGTGTGGAATCCAGACCCTGAAAAATAATTTGTCAAAGGAAAAGGGAAAAGCAGATCACCAAGAATCAGGAAAGAACTGACAGGAAAAATTAGAAGCTATAGAGATGTCGGAAAGATGGACCACAATGCAAACAAAAGTAGGAAACAATTTGGACTCTCCCCAGTCCTTGCAACTCGTGGTGAGGGGAACCCAGCTCCCCAAAAGCAAGGTAAGTGTCCAGAGTAAGAGATCCAGGGAGAAATGGCAGCAGAGCACAGAGCCTTTGTGAACTGCAAAAATAGTCCAAGGTTTTGTTTTGTTTTTACAGAAATAGTAACAGAAAATTTTCCAAATGAGAAAGAAACATACATGTGAGTGAGGCATACAGAAGCCCAAGTAGCCACAATCAAGAGAAACACTGTACATCACAACACAGTCAAAACATCAGAAGTCTGACACACAGAATTTTTAAAGCTGCTAGAAAAAGCAATGAGTCACAAGTCTATTAGAATTACAGCAGATGTCTCAGCACAAACCCTAAAGGCTAGAATTTATGGCTTGTGTCTAGATGTCCCCCCAAAGCCTCATGTGATCATAGGTGGGGCTTTTTTCAGAGGTGGCTGCATCAAGAGTGTGTGGAATTAATTCATGGTGCAATGCTAGGCTCAAGGACACTAGGATTAAGGGTGCGAGTGCTACCCACCCTAAGTAGTCTGGATAAAAGGGGCAGAGAGACACTGTTAAGGTCCATTGTTGCATTTGCTGTCTTTTCATGCAGTGAACTGCTTCTCTCTGTGATGCTCCTCTGCCATGTGCCACTCTGCCTTGGAGCTAGTCAACTATGGACTGAAACCTCTACCAACTGTAAGCCAAATAAACCTTTCCTCCCTTAACTTGTAATATCAGGCATTTTGTTTCAGCAACAAAAAAACTAAAAGAGCTTGAAGAGTTTCAAGCCCTAAAAGAGAGCAATTTCTAACACAGACTTACATATCCTACAAAATTTCCTTCAAAAATGATAGAGAAATAAGGTATTTACACAACAAAGAATACCTTAAGAAATTCATACCCACCAAACCAACACTACAAAAAATTGTCCAGGATACTCTAGAAAGAGACAATGAAGCCAGCAATGCCAATGTCCAATAGAATGAATCCACCAAGCAGGGTGAGCAGTTAAGCAGAAGGGCGAGGGGAGTCAGCAACAGGAAAATAATACAATGACATGGAATAAGTCAATGTCTTTCAGTAATAACTCTCAGTGTGAACAGACTCAATTGCCCAATCAAAAGAAACAGATTAGCAGAATACATCAAGAAAAAAAGCTCAATGATATACAGTATAGATGAAACACACTCCAAAAAGAAACACACATTAAAATAATCAAAAGATGGAAAACAATATTCTGTGCGATGGGAACTTGGAGAAAAGCAGAAGTTGTTATTGTAATTTCAGATAAGGTGAATTTCAATCCAAAACTGATCAGAAGAGGCAGAAAAGGTCATTACATATTGGTTAAGGGAAAAATTTAACATGAACAATTCAACAATTATAAACTTATATGCATCAAATACCAGCACATCTAACACTACTGGAAAAAAATTAGATAAATATCAACACAATTATAATGGGGAACCTCAATACCCCACAAATCAACCAGACAAAAAATCAACAAAGAAATAACAGGTTTGAACCAAATCTTCAAACAAATGGACTTAATAGACAGCTACAGAGTGTTCCATCTGACAACAGAATACATATTCTTCTCAGCAACACATAGGACTTTCTCCAAAACAGACTACGTGCTTTGCCCATGAAGCATGCTTAATTAAATGCAAAAAACCAAATTATTTCATGCATATTATCAGACTGCAGTGCAATGAAACCAAAAATCAATGGGAAAAGAAACCACAAAAAATAGGCAAACACATGGAAATACCACAATAAGCTCTTGAATAATCAATGGGTCACAGAAGAAATCAAGGAAGAAATTAGTTCTTAGAATCAAACTATAATGCCTGTACAACATACTAGAACATATGGGACACATTGAAAGCAGTCCTAAGAGGGAAGTTTATAGCTGTGAATACCCACATCACAAAACAGAGCCCAGATAACCTGATGATGCAGCTCAGTGTCCTAGAAAAACAAGAACCCAAATCCAAAGCTACTATGAGTAAGGAAATTACAAAGATTAGAGAAGAAATTAAGGAAATTGAGACTTAAAAAAATACAAGGAATCAGTGAATCAAAGAGCTGGTTCATTGAAAGAATAAACAGACAAACCCCTATCCAGTCTTTCAAACAAGGAAACGGCCCAAATTGTAATGGTTTATATGTAGATGTCCACCCAAAGCCTAATGGACTCATACGTGGGGCTTTAGGGAGTGATTGGATCATGGGAGCATGATAATCATCAGCAGATTAGTCCACTAATAAGTTTATAGCTTAGTGTGATATTGGGAGGTGACACCTGGTTGGAGGAGGTAGGTTGTTGGGGGTGTGGCCTGACAAAGTATCTTCCTCCTCCTTGATTTGTTTCCTGTCTGCCATGCCATGGACTGTTTCTCCTCTACTGTTCCCCCCTCTGTCATGCAGCCCCTGCCTTGGAGTCTGCCAACTATGAATCTGTACAAACAGTGAGCCAAAATAAACCTCTCCTTTAAATTGTGAGTATCAGATATATTGACTTAGTGGCAAAAAAAGTAACTAAGACTAATCAATGCCATTAGAAATAAGGGCAAAAGTCCACCGCTCCTAGGGCAGAGGAGGTAAGCCAATCCCAGCACCCAGGAGGAGGCTCCCCTGCTGCCATTCCACCGCTCCTAGGGCAGAGGAGGTA